GGACGGAGCGCGTGTGCCACTGCCAGCTGTCGTGAGTGCTGCTGCTGCCGTCTTTGGTTATCCCCTATGGTCCGTCTTGCTGCCGCTGATGCTGCCTGCCGTCCCCATCGCCCTGTCCATCTGTGCCCGCACTCCTGTTTCCGCCTCTTTCTACCGAGCGCGTTCCATTACTCGCAAAGTGCCTACTCGCAAACGTCTGAACAAAAAAACGTGTCGTCCTCTTTGTAATGTATCGTAAATCCCCCGCGGCGGATCCAGGCCATCTGCGAGTAGTTGCTTTGCGAGTAGTGGAACGCGCTTGTCCATCCTTGTGCTCCTGCGATCATGCCTGCTCTCACCTCGAGCGTTCCGCGGCAAGTTTCGCTCAAGGCGCCCGGTGTTTTTCTCGGTCGCCACGCCCACACGGTCTAGTGCCGTGGTCTACCCTGCCGCTCACAGCCTAGTGACTGATCTTATTGCCCCTCTGGCGGCGGGGGAGGCCGGGGAGGTCCTGCGCGAGCCAGCGCCAGGCCAAACGACCGACGTCGCAGGCAGGGCGCACGCCAGGCTCGGGAACACCAGCTGGCCTGGCAGAGGCGATGCAGCAGGCAACACTGGCAACAGGGCCCTGGCGCCGCATTTGTTTTTGCAACCGGCGATGTTGCCTCGTTTCGGGTCCCGGACCCTCATGGATCGATCCGGGTGGACAAGTGCAGCAGAAAGTCGGGGCCTCCAGTCCAGCTCCTCTGCGATGTTGCAGTTTTCGCATGACCTCGGATCTCAGGGAAACTGAGTAAATTGCATGCGGAAGGGGCCACAGCGGAGGACCCTTGGCTGTCTCTGGACCGAATGGGTTCGCTTGCTTGTCCAAGGTTCCTTGTGGCATGGCTCTGGCGGCAGAGCTACGCGAACAGGACCGTGTGCACTGGGTCCTTGCATCGGCGCTGGTATACCCGTGGTCGAAAACGGACCCGATCCAGCATAGCCCCGATCGGTTCCCGCAGAATCCGGATCGATCTTGTGCTTGATCCGGGCTGGGCTGACTGGCCCCTAGCATCTGCCCTAACACCTTGTATCTTTGCATCGCTCGGACGTGTGCATTTTTCCTTCGGCGAGGACCATCGAGGAGCATCCTTGATCATTTGGCGAAAACGCCACGCACGAAACCGAAGAAAACACAGGGAATGGACGTCCGAGCGATGGCGAGTGTATTCGATCCCACGACGGCCTCCCATGAGTTGCCTCCTGACTGCGGGCAGTCCTGTTCACTCCAGCGTCCTCCGAGCTCTCACGAGGCGTGCCTCCACGCAGCCTGTCCGCAGAAGAGTCTCGACCTCGGATGATAGACGACCTGCACTTCGGTCGGGCGTGCCCCTCTACGGGAGGAGTATTCAAAGATAGGCAGAAAATAGTCTGGGGGCGATCTTTCGACACTTTCCCGAATCTACCTCTGCGTTTTTTTTATTTCTCGCAGTTTTTCGCCCAACATCCGCCTGCAGGGGGGCATGCCCGACCTGGGACCCACGCCGCCTCGCGCATCCCCTTCCAAGCACCCGCTGGAGCGCGCGCCCTCCTCCCGCGCGACCCGCGGCCTCTCTCGGAGAGTAGGGCCCCGAGAGCGAGGCGCCCCGCACGGTGGCACCTCCACCTGACGAAGGGCGGGGAGCTCCCTCCTTATGAGGCCACGAAACGTCCTCCTCCTCCTCCTCCTCCTCCTCCTCCTCCTCTCCCCTCCTCCTCCTCCCCCACTCCTCCTCCTCCTCCTCCTCCTCCTCCTCCTCCTCCTCCTCCTCCTCCTCCTCCTCCTCCTCCTCGGGTGGCGGGATGCTTGCGGACCCTGCCACACGAGCCTTCGGTGGAGCTCCCACTGGGGCCACGACGCGTGCGCGGGGTGTGCCAGAATGGGCTGGGGGGGGACGCACGCGGACCCTGCCACAGGAGCCTTCGGTGAAGCTTTCCGTGGGCCACGGAACGAGTAAGGGGTGTGCCGAGATGGGCAGGGGGACGCATGCGAACCCTGCAACAGGAAGCTTCGGTGTAGCTCAATGTGGGGCTACGAGACGTGGGAGGGATGTGCCGAAATGAGCGGGGAAACGATCCAATCCCTGCCAACGGAGCCTTCGGTGAAACTCCCTGTGGTGCCACGAAATGCTTGAGGGCTGTCCCAAGATTGATAGGCGGAGGGCAGAGGCAAGGATGGGAGGAGGTGGGGGCGGGAGTACGTGAGTCAGGGGTGACGCGAGGCGCTGTCTCGTCGAAACGAGAGTCGAAGACCACAGGATGATCGGGAAATATGCACCTAAACTGTGTCAGGTCCGCGCGTATTTTTCGGGGGAACGGCGCCTGGCCCCCCCGCCTCTCCCTGGCGCGCGGAGCGCGCCCGGGGCGGCGCCGAGGCACATCGGAGAAAGCCCGCGTTGGCATCCGAAAAAAGGTGCATACAACTGCGTCATAGCCGGGGAACCCTGAGATCCTACCTCACGCACAGTCCTACATCGTGGAAACCCCTCCTCCTCCTCCTCCCCCTCCTCCTTCTCCTCCTCCTCCCCTCCTCCTCCTCCTCCTCCTCCTCCTCCTCCTCCTCCTCCTCCTCCTCCTCCCTCCTCCTCCTCCTCCTCCTCATCCTCCTCCTCCTCCTCCGCCTCCTCCTCCTCCTCCTCATCCTCCTCCCCCTCCTCCTCCTCCCCCTCCTCCTCCTCCTCCCCTCCTCCTCCTCCTCCTCCTCCTCCTCCTCCTCCTCCTCCTCCTCCTCCTCCTCCTCCTCCTCCTCCTCCTCCTCCTCCTCCTCCTCCTCCCCGCCCCCCCCCGCCCCTCCTCCTCCCCCTCCTCCTCATCCCCCTCCCCCTCCTCCTCCCCCTCCCCCTCCCTCCTTCCTCCTCCTCCTCCTCTCCTCCTCCTCCTCCTCCTCCTCCTCCTCCTCCTCCTCCTCCTCCTCCCTCCTCCTCCTCCTCCTCCTCCCTCCTCCTCCTCCTCCTCCTCCTCCCCTCCTCCTCCTCCCTTCTCCTCTCCTTCTCCTCCTCCTCTCCTCCTCCTTCTCCTCCTCCTTCTTCTCCTCCTCCTCCTCCTCCTCCTCCTCCTCCTCCTCCTCCTCCTCCTCCTCCTCCTCCTCCTCCTCCCCCTCCTCCTCCTCCTCCCTCCTCCTCCTCTCCTCCCCCTCCTCCTACCTCCTCCTCCTCCTCCTCCTCCTCCTCCTCCCCTCCTCCTCCTCCTCCTCCTCCTCCTCCTCCTCCTCCTCCTCCTCCTCCTCCTCCTCCTCCTCCTCCTCCTCCTCCCACACCTCGACCGGGGGCCCCGGCTTGCCCGTCCCTCGCCGATCGGGGCCCTTGCGGGGCGTTTTCACCCAGGGCCCAAGGAGCGTGCGGCTTCGCCGCTGGGGGGCACGTGTTGTTAGGTCGGGCATGTCCTCCTACAGGCGGGTTTGGAGCGAAAAGTAAAAATAGCTTAAAAGAAAACACCAATGTATTCAAAAATGATAAAACAAACATCGTTCCCAGACTATATTTGACTATTTTTGAATTTTCCTCCTGTAGAGGGACAGGCTCGACTCAATATTAGGTCGTGCATGTCCTCCTACAGGCGGGCTTTGGAGGAAAAGTAGAACATAGCCCAAACATTTGCAAACACTGTTCAGACATAACCAGAACGTCGTCCCCATACTATATACATATATATTGACTATAGTTGAGTCTTCCTCCTGGTGAGGGACATGCCTGACTTGAGGCTCCTGGCAGATTGCCGATGCCGCGTCGGCGTACCCCCCTGTCGGGCCAGCCTCGACCCCGTCTCTGCGGCCCCTCTGCCGCGGGCGGGCCTCCAGAGGGTCTCGATCTGCGATCTGCGACCGACGAGCTCTGGATCGAGGAACGGTCGGGGGTCAATTCTCGATTTTCGATCGATCGGGTCCTGGTTCGAGGGATCCAGGGTCAATCCTCGATCTTCGATCGACCGCGCTTGGCACCTGTGGCCTGCCCCCCCCCCCTGCCACCAGGGGGCAACAGGATCGCGCGGCCAGAGCTGCTCTTCTCAGCAGCTGGATCCATTTGGCCGGGGAAACGTAAGACTCGAGTGGGCCGGAACTCGGGTTTGCCGACGCTTTTGGACGAGCGCGTCCTGGATGTTGGCGGTCCCGTTTTCGTGGGACATTTGCAGCGGGAATTTCGCGCCAAATTTCAGACTGGGGCTCAGATTCTTCGTGGTGGTCCGGCCAAGGCCAACCCAAGTCCCCCGAGCCCGGCGGGCGGGTGGTAATGGGGGGGTGGCCCAAATGGAAGGTGAAGGAAAGGTCCCTGCGCCAGAGGGGGCCCCAAACCGAAGAAAAAATAACGCCACAAGCAGAAACCTCGGGCGCTCCCCCGGCGGCGCTTCCGGCGCCACCCCCGGCGGGCTCCGCGCACCAGGGAGGGGGCTCTGGCGCAGATCCAAGAAACCCGCGTGGAGCGCCAAAAGTGGACGTTCATGGCGCTTTTCCTTCGTCTACTGAAAGAAGCCCTTTGCGGTCCCTTTTCTTCACCCCCCACCTGGGCCACCCCGCATCACCACGCCCCCGCCTCGCATTAGGTCGGGAATGTCCTCCTACAGGCGGATTTGGGAAGAAGAGAAGGCATCTATACACCACCAAGGAAGCCTGGGCCCCAGGAAGGTGTATAGACCTCTCCTGGCCTCGGCCAGGAGGGCGTATACACCATGCTATGGCCAGGATGGCCCTGGCCTGGCACGGTGGTGGTGTACAGATGCCTTCTGCGTGCGCACAGGCTGGAACGGAGCCGCAGCACACATGGCAGAAGCATCGTCCCCAGACCCTTTTTTCTGACGCCTGTGGACTCTTCCTCCTGCAGAGGGACCTGCCCGACTTGAGCCCCGCAGCCGCGCCGCCTCCCTCGCATGGTCCGCGGCCTGGGCCGCGGCGGGCTGCCGCTGCCCCGCGCGGGCGCCCTCGCGGCCGCGGCCTTGGCGCCCGCCTGCCTGGCGGGCGGCCCGCCGCCGCTGCCCCGCGCGCCGGGCCCGCGCGCGCCGCCGGCGGCCCCGGCGGCCGCCGACGCCGGCGCGGAGGCGGAGGGCTTTTCGCTTTGGGGGGGGGAGGAGGTGCCCAGACTTGTGTCGGGCGTGTCCCCCTCCAGGGGGATGTTCGACGCAAAAATAAAAAATGCCCCAACAGAGAGTCCCCAGACTATTTTTGTATCATTTTTTATTTTTTCGGGGGTATCTTTTATTTTTCGTCGAAAATCCCCCTGTCGAGGGACAGGCCCGACTTCAGCCCAGACCTCCAGCCTCTGCCTCGCTGTCCCCTCGCCGGGCCTCCGGGGAGGTCCTCGTCGCCGTCGCTGGACGCGCCGCGAAGTCCGGGTCAGAACGCACCCCGGGGAAGGTCTGGGGGAGTAGCGTTAAGTCGGGCCTGTCCCCCATACAGGGGGATCTTCGACGAAAAATAAGAGATACCCCCAACATAGTCCAAGAATAGTCCAAAAATAGTCTGGGGACTATGTTTTTTATGTTTTGACCTTT